CAGAGATCCCCCTGCCTCTGCATCCTAAGTGCTGGGATTAGAGGTATATGCTACCTTGTCTGATAACCACTAGCATAGAAAATAAAATCAAGTTAAGACATTTTAGGCAAATTTGCTTTGATCTCTTTTCAGGAACTTGGAGGAGACAAATCAGACACAAACATAGACATTATGTATCAGTTTATCTTTGACTAGATACCCTGTCTTATTCCTCACACATCTTGAGATAATATTTCTGAAGCAATAAAACATTTGACAGCATATACTGGTGAATACATGGAAAAGGGGGATACTTATTCACTGCCAGTGGCAGTGCAAACTAGCATGGCATCTGTGAAAATCAGTGTGGAGGTTCTTCAAAAAAATCAATCTCCTGCAAGATCTAGCTGTGCCGTCCTTGGACATGTACCCAAAGGATTCTATATCTTACTGCAGATACTTGCTCATCCATGTTCATTCCTGCTCTATTCATAACAGCCAGACCCTGTAAGCATTCTAGATGTCCATCAACAGTAAAATGGAGAATGAAAATATGATACATTTACACAATGAAATATTATTCAACTATAAATAAAAATGAAATTTTGCCAGGGTATGGATGGATATAGAAAAAAAGTCATGCTGAGTGACATTACCTAGACCCCAACCCAAGTGTTACATGTTTTCTCTGATATGGGCATTAGATTTTAAGCTTTAGATACTGGTAGATACATTTTTAAATACTCAAAACTTTATAAAAATTTATAAATTTTTTATAAATTATATAATTTATAAAAATTTTAGTGAAAGCCAAAAAATGCTACAGTTCCATGAATTCAATGGGCAGAGAATATACTTTTTTCCCTATATTTATATTCACTTAAGAAATCTCACAAAAAGCTTTCCTTCAATTACTCTTATAATTATAGAAAACGTGCATTTTAGACATGCTTTTCCTTTTTTAAAGAAACAAGCCTGAATTGTGCAGTATAAAGTGAAACTGTGTGGTACTCATGGGTCCTTTGGAGGGGCCTCAGGCATTTACTCATTAGAGTGTCCCTTTATTGCAAGTTTTCTAGGACTCTTCATT